AGCTTTCACAAAAGATTAGTATAACCAGTTAGAGATTAAGCTAGTTTCTGATACAGATAAAAAATCTGTCACAGAGACATTCATCAGACAATACACAGACTATACAAAAGTTATATGACTAATATATTAGAGTGATTTATATCTAAAGTTAAGTATTTACTATATTCTGTTCTATGTTCTTATTTAACATACAAATACATATAACATACACTATTATAATCATATTGATCCGAAAATTACAAACCTGTTCAAATTGTGATTCATGACCATATTCTCTTTAGCGTTTGTCGTGGAGTAACCTGAAACAAGAGAACAGTACCAGATTTACAAAAATATCTATGCATTCGAAAAAAAACATGTTTGTAAAAACCCTAAGTAAGAATTTTCAACCTGTATATATTTAACTAGCTGTGCGCGGTACTTCGTCCGCGTTATAATACTTATTTTGGGAATCGAAATTTATTATTTGGAACCAACCTAATACATTAAAACTTCCACTCACGACCCGCGTCGCTTCGTTATTGCAAGTTAATCATACAAGATGGACTGTCGCGAACAATTTATTAGATAAATCTTCCATACATAGTTTTTTGCTTTCTCGAATCGTTTTCACAGCGCACCCAACAAAAGTCCTCAAAAATGAATACTTTTCTAAACCCTTCCTCGAATATACATAAATATTTTTTTTATTGCGAACCAGCCAGTAGTTCTGTACTGTGTCCGTGCAGAAGTTTCATGCCTAATTGCGCAACACAACAAACAACGTTTTTTAAAATAGCGTAGTGAATCATGAAATTCACAATTACGATTCAATTTCACGATTTCGAGCTTAGTCCTACCGAAGCCAATAAGGTAACGCGTAACGTCGTGCGTGCAGCGTGAAAGTTCAAAGTCCTCTTAAACCTTGAGAACCAGCTACGACCGTGAATTGGGTCAAAATCGTATTGTCTATTGGCAATAGGGATGGCCCGACATTCGCTTTACATGACGAAATGCGATACAAAACATGTTACAATTTATCATGATTTGAAACCCCTAATCTACTATATACGGTCTAAAAGTTCAACGTCATTTACAGGCAATATATTTAAAGCCAAGCCGCTTGCACCCGCAATGCAACGTTTTAAAAAACAAGCCGCACAGAATAAACCTTCTGTTTTTATTTGATAAAAAAGTTGTAGAAACATTATTTAAAGCAATTAATAATATATACTTGATGCATATAACTTGTATTATGTACGGAACCATGATCAATTATTTACCTTGTGGACAAGGATTAAGTGGCAAGGGGTCGATAGCAAAAATAATGTCAATTCTATAATAATGCATAATTTAATTTACAAATACGATTTTAGTTTATAAACACTATATTGTAGTTTATGAAACTAAATTGGGACAAGCTATTCTGAACCGAATGTTCGGCTTAAATTTGGTTTATTCAAGCCGCACTGGGTTTATCACTTCAGTATGGATCAATTTATATACCAAAACTTTATCTATACTAATATATAAAGCTGAAGAGTTTGTTTGTATGAACGCGCTAATTTTTTCGAATTTAAAAGATGTGTTGGAGAGAACAATTATCGAGGAAGCTATAGGGTATAAAACATTGCCTTGACTAATAGAAGCGAAGATACAGCAGGAATATGATTAAAACGGGGGAAATTTTTCATCTCTGTGGGTTTTCGATGCTACGCTGCGAAAATGGTTCAAATAACTAAAAAAATCGCGTGAAAATGATTCCTCTTTAAATGATCTAAAAAAATCCGGCGCAATTTATAGATCTTTTAAGTTAACTTGCAAGAACAACGAGAAGAGACGCGGTCGACGTCGTGGCTAACAGATTAAGTATCGGGGTTTGCAAAAGCTAATTTAGATGCCCAAAATACCGATTCTCGCGAACGAAGTCGCTGGCTCAGCTAGTTACCGATAAAGTAAGTTTATCTTGTTTTTTGGTATGCTTAATTTTTATATTACATCATAAGACATTTTACGCAGGATATTATGTTAATTAATTATTTTATTTTTTATAAATGACGACTTTTGTAGATCAAGGTTTATGGTTTTTTATTGCATAAAGTTAGTAATGGACGATAAATGAAAAATAAAAAACAAAGTCATTAAATTAAAGAATATTTCTCGAATAACTCAAGAAGATAGGAATCTACGGTTTATATTATAAAGATAAGTCGAATATGTTCGGAACTAAAAAATCTTCTCAGATATAAATTCTGCTAAATTGATGCTTGTTTGTTTATTGTGTGTGTTGTAAACTATGGGTTATAATTTTCAATGCTCATTCTTTACTCGTACTTTGATCGCTAGAAGTGAGTCCTTTTTTTCTGATGGTTAATCCTAATCACCCCACTGGTAAGCGTGCGTGGGAGTTTACTCGTATAGCCAGCAAACCACTCCCCCAGCCCTCTCGGTGCTTTGAGGAGAGCTATGGCCTAATAACAGAAAACATGATTTTCAATAAGGAGAAAATACGCAAATAATGAAACTCGAAAATAAATTTAACTATTATTTGTGTAAAATTATTTAACAATTTTGGGTTAGTGTGCTGTTGTAGATTAACATATTTAGAAAAAATATAAATAACACAAGGCATAAAAATTACAGTTATGCTACTCTGGCTCCTATTGTGATGTGTTATCTTGAAATGGATATGTATGTACGAAACCAACTAAATCGTTTACTTGTTCCTACTATTTCTTCATCTATAAACTGTTAAATGTTTAATTACTTCGTTCAGCAGATCATTCGTTTGGTTTGAACTGAAACCTTGTAAAATCGTAACTCAAAGTTCAATGACCTTTCAGGTGCAAGTCTAATTTTACAAATGCACTCGTAATGTAACCAATATGAACAGAACGCGCTTATTTGAATTTGAGTGAATGTATAACAGTCACATTTTTTTCTGTGAGGAGCATAGCGGGTATAATTCTGTGTCTGTACATGACTAAACGTATTAAAAGGTCTTCTCGGTATTCGAACCCAAATGTGAATAAAGCGAATAGTGAATGACATATATCAGCAAATAAAGAATCCGATACTATTTTGAGGTAGCTATTTGTTTTCCTGTTCTATCTTAGAGGAAGATAGATAAGCATGAGATTTAGTTGACGGTAGGTGAATTAGCTATACAACGTCTGTACAAGATGCGCTGTTGATCTATTTTGGCTTTGGATATTCGGAAAGCCACACACTGAAACCGCAACGCGATTAAACTTCGCGACTTTTCACATCTTGAAAGCACCTACCTCCAATTTGATCCAAGGCCAAAATTTTTGAGAAAAATTATAAATTCATGTTGGTCCCGGTGTGGATCGAATCCACGACCCCTTGATTCTTATTTATACTTTTACAAACAAGCCCGTCAGCCTAATTATTCAGATTTAATACATACATTTATGATTTCTGCTAATCAATCTATTTTTATTTATCCCTCGCTCCATCAACTTCCTGCAAATATTGATAGCAGCACAGCATCCTCCGCATTTATCTTCAATATTTCAGCCAGACAACGATTTGCTTTCAAATTGGCAACATGACCAAGTGTATCGTTTATCTTTTTCAAATTGTGCTGTTAAATGAATTACGGGTTATAAAATGCAGCCCGGTGAAAGAATTACATGGAAACGATAATGATATTGATAAATCCTTACGTGAAAATAATAATTTATCAAATAAAGAAGTTAACTTTATATCTATTGAAAACACCAGTGAAATAAGCTTTACTCAAGAAGATGGTGTCTTTATCCAATACGGTGCTGACGACGTATCTTTTCCTTTTATGGGCAATGTAACGGTGGAAAATATTATAGTGGGATGTCCAGAAGAACCTTGTATGTGATGAATCAACTCCAAATGCTCTTAACATTTCGAAGACATATGAAGATGGAGTCGGCAGAGCTAGTTTTGAGGTGGGCTGCCTAAGAGGCTACGCGAAAGCAGCTGATGGTTCTTGTCAAGAAGTTTTATACGACTGACTTTGTGTTAGTATTACCTATGTTAATGTAGTAATAAGTTTTAAGATAAACGTTACTTTTAAAATTACATCTATACAACAGAGCGAGTTATTAATTCCATAAGCATAAACAATTTTAACCTTAAGGTTTTATTTTTTAACGTCAAACTAGTTGAATGTAATGTTTAAGCTACTTAGCCATATTAATTAGAAGTTTAAACAATACGCGTTCTTTCAATGTTTCCTTGAAATTATCTATTTTTAAAAATAATGCAAATTTAGTTAAATTTAATGTAAACGAGAAATTCCCAACATAAATACTATTATCAGAATCACACTAATGTTATCGCTACAGTTCATTGTAAGATGATAATAGTTTAATAATTATATGGATATGGTTTGCTAAATTTTATGAAATTGCAAATATATTTGATTTTTTTTAACTATTTGATAAAATATTTATTGAACTCTAATAAAAACAATAAATTCCCTGTAAGGACAATTATTTAAGGGCATGTCTTTAAAAGTGTATTCTTTGTGTGACTAGAACAGTATGTTTTAAGTAAACAGCGTTATATTCATTTTCTGTTTTAGTAATTGTAACACTCATTATTTTGTTTTTTAGACGAAAGTTTAATGTATTTTTTAGCGTACGCGAGTAGTACACATTTAAAAATTTTTAAACGCTATTTTTTTGTTTATTTTTTTTCCCTCCCCCCCGCCCCCGCGGTGGGGCCCCCCCCCCCCGGGGGGGGGGTTTTTTTTTTTTTTTTTTTTTTTTTTTTTTTTTTTTTTTTTTTTTTTTTTTTTTTTTTTTTTTTTAAATACATTGTTATTTGAGTTCAGGCCGGCCTGTGCTATAAATTTTATATTATATTAACAATTTTTATATGTGTACGTAGATTATTCATTAAATTCCAATAAACCCGTTTATCCCTAACATATTTTACTCATTAAAGTAATCACTACGGGAAATTATTCATAATTTATTGCGTCGCGAGAGAACACACTCGTTTCTCGATTCACAACAATGAAGAAGATAATATTACTCTGTTTGGTTCTATCAGTCACAACCTATATAGAATGTGGCCTCATCCGGGATTTATTTGAAAAACCGATCGATAAATTTTACAATATGACTGAAAAAATCCACAAGGCTAAAATGGACGCGATACACTCGCTGGACGAGAAATTAGTGAAGGTTTCCCATCGTGTCAAAAGTATATTTGGCGGGAAAGTGGATGATGGAGAAGAAAAGCATAATACTATTGATGACAAACAATCAGAGAAAATAATTGACGAGAAAACTGTGGAAACAGCTGGATGTCCAGAAGGTTCGCCAGGCGCTTTAAATGGTTCGTGCTTACCAGAGGAATATATACGATTCGGTAATGACATTGAGGAATTAAAAAGTTAATGTGAGACAAGAGTTAGGACCTTACTAGAACTAACTAGATGAAGATGTGTAGTGATTTTAGTTTCAGCGATACAACAACTGGAGATTAATTTTACACCATTGTAACTCGTTCGTGCAATCATGGCAATGTATATTCGATGTTCACCGAAATCAATTTTGAAATCTAAAAAAAAAATCCACATTTCGTTTTCAGTCTATCGATTTTCAAATGCACTATGCATACCACAACTTAATAGGTCGATCTGCTTCATCGAATGTTATAGGGCGGGCTATTTCACTTTTCTTCATGTGTTCCTTTCTCTTATATGATGAGTACTTTTCAATGACACGGTATATAGTACATTTTATAGAGCCCGATGCTATGCGCTATACACGGCTTAATACATTTATGATGTAGTCTGTAGACTCATTCGGTAAGTCAATTAAAGCAATCAACTGCAGTTGACCCTCATAACTTTGTTTAATCTATCCTCATTGCATAAAGTGGAATTTTGGTCCATTATTCAGGTGTGTCAGGCAAAGGTTTCTTTGATACATAATAAACTTTTTTAAATACAAACTTTAACGGTTTAAAACGAGATATATTCGTTAAATTACTTCATTTTCAAATAAGTTTAACTAATATATCGCGTATTAAACCGTTAGTGTTTTATTTAAATGTGTACTACTCGCGTAAACTATAGACTAACTTATAGACCGGGTCTTTCTAATGCATAGTTGACTTGAAAATATATTTGACTGGAACTTGAATAAAAGCTTTTTTGCTTACGTATTTTTGTTTGTTTTTAAGTGAAACCACGTTTTTCTCTGTGAAGTATGGAGCGAATACATTTCTGAGCCTGTTTAACTGATCAATTTTATTTACAGACGAGTAGAAGATCGGAGTTCTGGGCCCGACCGAAATAATTTATCGTTTTCCCGGGGTTCGAGCCCTAGACTTTTGCTTAACGCAATACGAGGCAACGAGTTTATTCTATTATACACTCTTTAATTGTGATGTTATCTTAACAGTAAACGTAAGCTAGTAAAGGGGAAAATTCGCTCTGGAGATTCAAAGATGAAAACATTCCCAGTAACACCCCAGTTTATTTTTGTTTTTACTAGTAGTTTACCATCTAGGGGTGATAGGCATCTCCCCCTGTGGGTCAGAAGAGAGCGTGCTTACTGCAGTTTACATTGCAGCTGTATTCTGGAATTTCTTTATACTTGACAATAGCACGTTCGTATTCACGTGCAGGATAAGACGACCATGACGTAAGTATGTACTCGTACATAATCGCGTCTTAGCCACTTAATAGATATTTCTTGTGACTTATGTTATGTTTACTGCGATTTGTTTAGAGTAGCGTAACTTGTTTAGTGTTTGTCTGTATCGGTTAAAGAAACGAAACGTTAAGAATAATCTCGTAATTTTTTGACAGGCGCGTCGTTTGTAGTTTTTTTTCTGAAATAGCGACACTTGTTTAGATTTTATATGGGGATGTTTGTCCTCCTCTGTCAAAAAACGATTGTAATCATAATTTATTCGATTGTTAAATGATTTCTTAGCAGTGCAAATGATATATTTGATAATTTAAGGTCATTTAAAACAAGATGTTTGAATTTAGATAAGGTTCCTAGATAATTTCTCATACCGTATGTTTTGGTTTTTGCTTTTATATAAAAAAAAACGAATAAAATAAGAGCTCGTCCTGCTCGTCCCACTCGCACTTGGACAGTTTTTAATATCGTGTATACATTTCTTAAACAGAAATAGATGTGGTTGTTAATAGAGGATTCCCATGGCAGATTCACACGAGGCGTCACGCTCAGTGAACATAAGTCGTTTGTTAAACGGCCACAGGCACTGACGGCCTTTGACCCTGCTCGCGACACGCTTGAGCTTTGATTGAGCCGAGAAACTTCGATCGAACGCTTCTAGGTTTGAAAAACAAAAACTCTAAATCTAAGGATATTGAACCTCAGAATCTGGAAAATAAGGACGAAATTGCACTGTGCCAGAAATCTATGAATAATATTTGTGAGGTAGCTCAATAAGCTGAACAGCGGCACGGAACACCATCTATCGTGGGACCATCACCCCTTGAACTTACTTATAAAATATAACACACTGTATAATCCTAAAAAACGCAAGTAGGTAACTAGGTATGTATATCTGTTTTATTATTTCGTTTGACCCTGAAAACTTCATCATTCTATTCTTTACTGCCACTTCCAAATATCCAAAATAGGTTGACAACGTTTAATGTTTACTTGTTCTATGGCTTTCTAAGTGAGCGTCATGCTTATCTTTCCTCTATCTTAAAAATGGAAGATTCTGATGGGAATAATAAACAGAAGCTTCAGAAGTCTCTATGCTCGATTTTTGAGGCAGAAAAACAGCATTGTCATCAGTAGAAATGTGGCTATACATTCTTTGTTTCTCTACACAAAGACCAAGCTTTACGCTGCGTCGTTACTGTAGCCTAGAAGATACACCAGCGCAGGATCTTTTAGGCCTAACAGCTAACTGTACTTTTGCCCTCGGTACGGTGACAGCTGGCTCATTTCGTACAGCCGATAACGATAATTAAAGATGCTGCAAATGTCAACGGTTTGCGCAAGTTTTCATAATGAAAGTTGAAATTACAGAATCGATAACAAAAGATGTGTGCGAGCACCTGCCTACAATTTAAAAGTTTTGCATTTCGCGCAGCTGCCAAGACCTTTTCATGTACAATTTGTTTGGACTATACAATAACAAGGTTATATTCTTGCCACTTATCACCTGACTTGGTCCATGATTTAAAACTATTTTCAGTTTTACTAAAGACGGTACGTCAAATCAATACATTATCAGACCACCAGCCACCATCCACAGATGAAATAGTCGTGTATTGTAATTAGTTTTGATTACTGTGGATTTTCGAATTAAAAGCCAGAATAATAAAAATATTTTATCTAAATTTATTATCCTTGATTTATATACCTAAACATTTTACGTCACTATACAATGATGTAAACTCCATGTTATGTAACTTTATAAATATTATGTATTCATAATACAAATTAATACTGATAATTGTTAATAAGTTAATTTGCGTTTTAAATCGTTAAAAGCGTTTTGTTTAAATGTGTAACTAGTAAACGACAGATAGTACTTAAATACCTAATTTTAAAATATGTTTTAAGACATTAATAAAAACCTCTCATTTTTACTTTACATTTAATAATGGTGAAGGGAAGTTCTTGTTGTAAAAAACATCTCAATTCTAAGAAGGAAATGTTAACATCACAGATAATAATTGTACTAAAACACGGCAACACATTAGTATAAGATTGTCGCTTGGACATTCGAGCGATTGGTTTTTGCTCATTAGGCCCTTCCATCCTAATAGCATCCGTGAAATTAAAATCCTATTAAGAATCAGCCCCGTGCCTATAAAATAGAATTAAATTGCCTTTTCTTAACTTCATTAAAAAAAATATGCATTGAGGTTTTTTTTACTATGGGAACACAAACATATTTAATCGTCGGAGAGAAAGTGAGAAACTTAAGAGATATTGCTTTGATAACATTTAGAAGGTGGGCAAATCTACTAATATATAAAGCTGAAGAGTTAAATAAAAAATGATTTCAAATAAGTTTAACTAATACATCGCGTTTTAAACCGTTAAAGCGTTTTATTTAAATGTGTACTACTCGCGTAAACTATAGACAGTGTGTGATGTAGAGGTTTGCAAAAACAAATGTGGATGCCCAAAATAACTATTCTACGAGGACGAAGTCGCTGACACAGCCAGTTATTAATATACTTACTTATTCCATCGATCAAAACTTAAGTTAATTAAAATTAAGGCATGAGCCGAAACGTCGGGCCGAAGTTAAAAATCATTTTCAAATAAGTTTAACCAATATATTGCATTTTAAACCGTTAAAGTGTTTTATTTAAATAATTTAAAATTATTATTCTAATAATTGTTATTACTTAAGTAAATACTGAGTTATTATAATACTTAAATTACAAAACATTTACAATTACAACATACAGGGAATTTTATTTGAAATTATTAGAACGCCATTTTTTTAATAAGAGTGAGGTCCGACTAAATGATCCTAGCGTAGCAACTAAGTCTTTTAAAATACACGAATAATTATGAAATGTTAATAGCCCAAGCTTTGTAGCTTGGTACGTGATTGTCAATTTAATGTCCAAGATCAGTACTAGATCTACACAGTACACACTACATCGCAAATGTAAGACAATTTTAATTTGAAGGTAAGTATTTACACGTTAACTGACATTGCGTTTCCTGCGAGAGGTCTTTGATTCGAGTCTCAAGTAATCGTAATACAAACTTTTAGTCAGTACGTACACAACAGGCAGATCTACAGTAGGAGTATAATTTTTTGTGTATTGTTTTATTCTGTTTGTATAATATTCCTTTTAAATAATCAGTCAACTTTTAATATTTATATAACACATGTTTATATTAAATTATATGTACATACTCGATATGTAAATTAAACTTATACATACTACGAATACTCGTAAGCTTTAGGGATTTCGCAACTTCTCGTAGCCTAAGCTATAGTAATGCGTGGTTACTAAGTGGCGTGAATGCAAATTAAATGATGCAATGGCTCAAGTATCTAAAACAGTGCTTTCATTCATGATTGCGTTCTCATTATGGCAGCGGATACGCCACGGGAGTTGAAATTCAAAACTTAAACAGCCTTTGTAAGGAGTAGGCAATCTTCTTATGAAATTGGCTACTAGAAAGCTAATATTCCAAAGGAATATAATACTGTTAGCTGACCGGGCAACGCATTTGCCATTTGAAGTATTAAACTAAATTTGATTATGTACCATAAAAACGGAATTAATCATAGTATATATATATACTATTGCGGATTTTTTTTAGATAATTTAAATAAGAATACTTCTCAGCGCAATGAACGGGAACCAACTCAAAGTTGAATAATTGTCCCCGTTTTCCCACATTTCCCACTCTTCTTCCCTCCCATTTTGTCCCAGCTTATAGCCTTCCTCGGCTATATTCTTTTTTAATTCGAGCCAATAATTTCTCAGATTAAGGCGTTTAAACAAACAAACTGTTGCAAAAGTCAGCTTTATAATATTAACTTATCTTTACACGAGTGGTGCCCAGTGATTAACCATTTTGAAACATATTGTTAAGGCTTTCGAGCATTTCTCATTTACTATGGCCGAACAGCTTGAAAACGCAAAGAGTTTTACGAAGGAGCTAAAGGCTACCGATACTTATATTCCCGTTTTATTATGGTTTATTTAAAAAGACATACTGTCACAAATAAGACGCCTTTGATAAATTCTTGGTATTGTTCAAACAAAAGATCAATAATGTTCGGCGCACGCGACGCTTGCATTGTGTAACTGCATATTGTGCAGGACACGGTGTGTCTTGAGGTAGCTGAGTTGTTATAATATTTCTTGTTTTATATACTAAATTTTCAAATATATACATATGTCAATGTGTGTTGCTACCATACTATGAATCAAAAGGCCTGTAAGACTTGGTTTAGTGTTGTGCCCAATTTTCAATGACAACTGACAAGATGTTGGTGATCGGTTAAATCTCGTAACTAAAATTTGGTGACACGTAACATGTGCACTTGAGCCAGCATAGTATATTAGGAGCCTAAATCAATGTTTCCACAGTCGACACAAGAATTATTACATAGAGTCGATCATATGTACATATTAATTGGTACAAATTAATGACTTTATTGTATAAGACAGGTTAAATAAAGATTTATTTTCGTCCTCGCAATTACCATTTAAAAGTTACATTAAAAACTTCTTGGCTTAGAGAAAAATTACACATACATACATATATCATACATTTGTAATCTAGATTTAGATTTAGTTATTCGGCTGTAGTATATGCTATATTTGACAGTCATTTATGGCACTGTTAAGTAATAAAAAAATACCTATGCCACCAAATTGTGCATAATATACGACTGTTCTGAAAATCACGAACATATGTGGTCGTACGTGGTGAGCTCAAATTACTTGGCCTTGACATCGAATGACTCAAACCGAGACGAACTACTTGCCCGCTTGGGCACTGTGGCTTGCGGTATGGTCCCCGTCAAACATTTGCAGATTTGACTACTGGAGAATACATATATAAAAAATCGATTAGACCTCAGAAAATTATCCCATATAATTAGAAGATATTATTTAGTTTAACCCCGATATATAATGAACAGCCAACATAATACTTTTAATATTTTTAGTATTATACATTTCTATAAAACACGCTCAGTGTTTACTTTATACCTTTACTGAATTTCCTTATTTAGTTCCCCTATGATGACGGCTGCTGAAATCCTACCAGGGCGTAGCTAAAAAACTAATATATTTCGTGTTTTAAACCGGTATAAGTTGAATTGATTTAATATTAAAATAACATGTTATGTTATAAAAGTTATGTTAAAAATTAAATATTTTTTATTTCATGTTAGAAAAGGACAACAGGTAAACAACTGAAATATATGAGAATATTAAGTTGAACTATTTACATAAGAAATATGTAATAATATAACTTATTTAAGAGTTTGCGTACGAGAAGAGATTTACTCCAATTTTATTACTACACTAAAGAACCCGTAGTGCACAAGATAAAATCAAAGTTGCCGGTTTTAACGATAGGAAATTCAGTAACGTACACTGGAGTCATGTGTTAGTTTGATTAGTTTCAGTACCGAGTATCAACTATCAATATAATAACGCTTCATTCCCACCGTTCTTGGAAACAGAGTCCCTTATTAGTTTCTTGGAAGAGGACAATCACGGACGCGGAGTTCGTCGCACTTTTATGTTGAAACAAAGTTATGTTTACATTAAGTTCGGAAGTGTCAACAGTCTTATCATTGTCTGTGATATGGCTGGGAAGGACTCTGTAATGTCTTTTGGGAATTGGGACTAATTTACGACCCATATCGAGAAATCATTAAATATTGTTCAGTATAGTATATACAACTAATGTATACGATAACAAGCCGGGAAACATAGTTTTAACTAATAACTGAAGAAATTTTTGGAAAGAAATATTTACTGAGTTTGAGTGTGTGAGGATGTAGTACCTATATCAGGCATGGAGGGTTGTGATCCAAAAGCCTTTATACAAATTCTCATTAATACGGTTTAGTCGTTTTGGAAGATTTCCCGCGCAAACATTGTGACAGCTGAGGGTGTGAATAAGTATGATGGACTATGAAGAAATTAAGGTAGAAAAAGTAATTAAATGTAAACAATTCTAATACGACGGAGGAGACACAATATCAATATAACGAGGAAAAGATTTGTTAAATATAATCCCTATAAGAGAACATGGGTTAGAGGTTCGCTCGCACTAAACGTAATGCGATTAAAATTTGAGCGGTGGAGGCGTCTGAATTTTTAACGTTTTAATCATTACTTGACGAGACGATGTCATACATCTGTACCCTAAAGCACAAATATTTCTACACACTGGCATACCAAATGCAACCATATTTCATATCATAATAATTAATTAATTATGTCGAAGTGTATTGTTAAACTTTTATTACAATTGCACCCATAAAAACAGGGTCAGATGCCTATGGATACATAGAACCCGCATACATTCAACAAGCTTTTAGACAACTATTCCGTCTAAATCTTATTCTAAGCTCCTATCCAAGGGAATAAAGTCCATTTTCCCTTAATGTTGTATATTTGATTAGACTCCCAAGTTCTCCCCTTCTTTTAAACAATCGACATGCAATTTTTCAATCAGTGTTATTGTCACAGTTTAGTTTAGAACTTATTATATGGTGAATTTTATAATGGGATTAAAATAACTTCGAAACTTTGACTTTACGAATAAAACATATGAATTGTCTGACAATATAAGTAGACAGCACATCTGTGTTTGATGTTTTTGGATTTGGGTAGATACATCACTTTTCATCGAGTGACACCAGTGCTTGTCCCCTTGTAATAACTAAATATAAAGTATATACTTACATAAAATTAAAAACATGAAAATTGCGCCAAGTAAACAAAAACGCATCGAAAAGTGTAATTTTCGACAATTAACATTTTATGTTAATTGTCGAAAATTACTTACTACAGTAATTTTTTACTAATGATAAGTGTTGAAACCCTCATCCATGCACTAATTTTGTTATTTACGCGATTTTGAATGCTGCTTTAAACACCTACATTTAACAAACTTGTTGCAACTTCGCAAGTAGTAAGTTTCTCGTTAACCCAGTTACGGCTTGCGAAATTTTTCAGTTTTGCAGAGACATTACAAATTACTATATGATGGTAGGGCTAGAATCATGAACAAAATTTATAATAGAGTAATAAATAATAATTTGATGTTGACCTACTAGTAAATACCTACCTATTCAATTTTCTTAATACCTCCGACTAAGTTTAGCTCAATAACCTAACAATGATTTATGAGGAATATTTAGAAAACTCTATTTGATTAAGATGACATTTTGTTGTTTTGGTAAAGCGATTTATTAGTACATAAGGTTATGTATTTATGCTATTTTATATTCCAAACGAGACACGGCTGAGGTGCGACGTCTTACAAAATACTGTAAGAGTAAATAGGTAAAGAGGAAATAATATTACCATTTATTATATACTTCCGTCGATCATTCATGAGTTCCTTAGCAAGTTTTGGGCATTCGTTGTCCAACACAGCACACAATTCTTGTAACTTCACACCGCTTTGTTTACTAACAACGTCTATAAAATAATTGCATTTATCATTGCCCACTGCACTCGTAATAACTTCTAGATCGTTTACGTTGAATAAACCCTTTTTCACTAGAACATCTAGCACGTTTGTATCACACAACTCGCGCAGCAGCGTAGTTTTGTGCTGCGAGAGGCAAGCACATACATCCACTGTCATTGCCATCGCTCAACTGGGGACAAACGGCAAGAGAATTGAAGAAAAAACGGCGGCGCGGCGGTATACAGTACCGCCAATAGTACCTGAGGCTCGCGCACACGGGCCACCGGTCACAGACATAAAACATACATACACTTTCATGTTTTTTATTCGTGACATGTGCAGCCACCAACATCAACGAAACGGCTAATACACGTAAAATGCATGTAAACTAAAAGATAAAGGTAGGCCAATAAAGACCGTTGGATAGTAACCAGTGTACGGAGACTCTACGGTACCTAAGGAACAGATGCCGATTGGTGTCTTTTGCTAGGCAATATTCGACTCACTATCATACTTAAAGTACTATGTAACTTGAACTGTTGCCAAGTTAAATTTGTAGACTTGCACTTTAGATTGAAAAGATAATAAGGCGAGAATGACTGTCTTTGAAGTTTGATTACTCATTTTCCCTGTGATATGCCACAGCTGCAGGCAGTAAGCGTCTTAAGAATATTTTTATGTTACTTAACTCAACGTACTAAAGTTAATAAAAAAGTAGGCGTCACTCAATTTAAAAAAAACTCATATAGATATTTCTACTCAATTAACTTACAGTATTTTATTTAATATTATTTATTTTGTTTAAAATAGAAGCTACCCATTCGCTCTTAAAAAAACGAATTACAACTAATTCATTATTTTGTTTTTGAGCAACAATTGCGTATAAACTGAAAAGACAGAAAGACTACAGCGGCGCTTTTCATGATTTGGCAAATAATTAACATATTAATTATCATTTCTGTGATTTATTACAAAAGTCATGGAAATTTTAAATTTTTTGTGCTAGTGTAGTAGCAGTAAGTAGCGCTTGTCTTTAAAATACTGTACAATATCCTGTTTTACATTTAAAATGTTAATTGTCTAAAATTTGGTTTTGCTGTCGTCAACTGTCAAACGTCAGTTAGACAGTAGCTTATGTTTGTAATAAATGTAACCTATAAAGTATAAACTAAGTAAATATTTTTTTAAAGTAATTTTAATTACGTATATTTCGGATTCAAATAAATTTAAATAATTCAGTGTAGTTATAAAAAATATGTCTCCTATAAGTAACCGAGGGGTCGCGGGTAAGAATATTACATTTTGTTTTCCAATTAATGTTCAATCAATTGTTTGTTTTCGTTTTATATTCTTACCTAAAAGATCCCTAAGAGTATATTAAGATACGCTGTTTTCATTTGTGCTTAAATATGTACAACTTGACGTAGTTCCGATTGTAACAATTTTTAAGTTACTGTCTTATATTTATTTTACTCTGATAGAAACTGACTCTGGCTCGGATTCAGATAGTGGATCTAGCGGTAGTCGCAGCAAAAGTCCAAGTCCTGCACCATCAGGCAAAGAAGGTAGTAGGTCTAGGTAAGATACTTCATTTATTTTAAAAACCATAGAACATGTTACTTATCTGTATTACAGTAAGTTTTTTTATACAGATCAGGATCTAGGAGTCCTGCAAAATCAGCCAGCCAGTCCCCAAAATCAAATGCATCTGCACGATCAAGGAAATCTTCTATTGGATCCAATGCTTCTAGGAGTAAATCAAATTCTCCTGCTGGATCTAATAGGTCTGGATCTGTCGCTAGCAATAAGTCTGGTTCTTCCAGCCCTAAATCTCAGGCTTCGGGTAGCCCAAATAGGACATCTAAATCAAGGTGTGTTTTATTTTTAATAAAGTTTTATTTATATATTACTTTGTAATTAGAAACTTGATAGTACAGACATTGCTATAATTTGTTTTGGAACTGAGCATTTTATAGTGTATCTATACTTAATCTATTTCAGATCTCGATCCAGAAGTGGTTCAGCTAGTGCAAGATCCAGATCTGGCAGCCCTAAATCTGGACCACACACACCCAAATCTCGTTCACAGAGTCCAAAATCTCGGTCTCAAAGCCCCAAATCCAGGTCACAGAGTCCTCAATCACGAGCACATTCTAAATCACCTAAAGCCAAAAGTAGGTCAAGATCTGTCAGTGGAAGTCCTAAAAGCAGGAAGTCTCGGTCAAGATCTGGTAGTGGCTCAACAAGATCAAAAAGTCCTGTGGAAAAGGACAATGATAGCAGATCAAATTCACCAAATCTCATGATAGATGACCAAGATGATAAGGATAAGTCTAAGTCTAAGAGTAGATCAAGGTAATTAAAGTTAATTTATAATTGCAGTGGTGGGAAAGAAAATTAAAAAAATATATATTTTCTATTTTTATAGATCAGGATCAAGACAGTCAAGAAGTAAATCTAAGTCGAAAAGTCGGTCTCGGTCACGCTCAAAAAGTTCCATTGCTTCTGATCCAGGTAATAGTTATTTCTCATTTTTGGAGCACCAACTGTAACAGTATTAGTGTTACATCTAAATAAACAAATTTTCCTGTAGGTCTATTAAAAGTGAGATTTTAAAATGAATTAAAATTAAAACCTTATTATTCTTTATATACTAATGAATTATTAGTTTAGTTGTTAGTATTGTGGATGATGGTACGTCCCGTTTGTGCTGTAACTATTTTTCAATCTAAATAGATTTTTTAATTCTATTTATTTATTTTAATAAAACACTGTAACGGCTTAAAACGCGATATTTTCAAACAAGTAAAACTAAAATATATCGCGTTTTAATAATTTTTAGTTAAATGTGTACTACTAGCGTAAACTACAAACAGTATTGAATTTATTTATTGTTAAATTTACTTACTATAAACATACTTCTTTGCAGGTGATAAAAAGAAAAGGGCAGTGCTATCTGATTCAGAGAGTGATGCAGAGAAAAGTGGTAACAAAAGGAAGAAAGGATCTGACAGTGGCTCGGATACTAGCGCAAAGCCTAAGAAGAAGTCTAAGAAGTTAGATGATTCTGATGATGAAAATCAGGAGAAGGCTGAGGGTGATGGTGGTAGGTTGATTTTTGTAATATAATTTGAAAATATATGATAATCTTCTTGTTAATAAAATAAATGTATATTCTACTCTCACTGCTTAGTAGAGAAGAAGCTTTGTCTATAGTTTGGAGAAAAAGTTTTACTGTAGTTTGTTTGTGCTTAACAATATACAATATACTAATCTTCTGTCACGTTAAACTTAAAACTATAGTTAGTGTGTATTACAAAAACATTATTGCCTTTTACATATTTTACGCCTGACGTTGTTACACATTATTGGCTAATCGAAAATGATTTGATGTTTCAGTGACAGCTGATGCTCTCTTCGGCGACGCCTCAGATATCAGTTCAGATGAAGATAAAGAAGATAAGCGTTCTGGGAGATCAAGGTCTCGTTCTCGCAGCAGAAGCCGCAGCCGCGACAAATCTGATGATGAAAGGCGCTCTGATGATGAAAAGAGAAGCGGTGATGAAGTGAGTGAATATAGTTGAAACTGTTTTCTTTAATAATAAAACATTGGATTTACATAATATATTGCAATCTTAGAGACATGTTAAACCCAAACAAGTTATCTCAAACTAGGGTTAGTCTATTATTAATATTAAAACTATTTTAATGCGACATTAGTTACAGTGCCTGTCTTTAACTATATTGTTAATGAGTCCTTTGACTAACCTACAATTAACTGATGATCAATTTAACTGGCTCGTCTAGGATTTGAAGCCGAAAATGTTTGTTGTTCTAACAGGAGAATCGTGAAAAACCAGAGGAGGAAGAAGAACAAGAGATTCCCGAGACCCGAATTGATGTGGACATGCCCAAAATATGGACTGAGCTGGGCAAAGAGCTGCACTTTGTCAAGTTGCCCAATTTCTTGTCAGTAGAAACGCGTCCGTATGACCCCGCAACGTATGAAGACGAAATCGATGAAGAGGAGACCTTGGACGAAGAGGGACGAGCCAGGTGAGTTTGAAAACTTTAATATAAGAAAAAAAGCAATTAGAGCACTAGCATAGAACGCTAGATGCCGGTTCGAGGCCGGCCCATGTCGTAATTTTTTTTAACTTATAATCGATTTTTAATTCAATAGGGGAGTTTGTTTAACTTATGTCTCTGGTTTGAAAGAGATTACTAATACCGGTGAATACAGTAAAATAAAATCTAGGACGTTACTTTTAGTCCAATGATATCTGTAAATACTATAAATGTTAAAATATTGTGAACTGGAAAATATATAAAATGCACTAGTGTAGCGAAATATATGGATAGATAATTTAAGGATATGCCAACTTACACTAGACCAGTACAGATTATGATTATAAATCAGAATGTGTTAATGGCAAACAACTGCTAATAGTTTTTGTTGTCTGATTTAGCAGTTTAATTAAATCCTTTTCAGATTAAAGTTGAAAGTAGAGAACACAATACGATGGCGAACGGTGTTCGACAAAGAAGGCAACGCAGTCAAGGAGTCTAATGCAAGGATGGTGAAGTGGTCTGACGGGAGTATGTCCCTGCACCTCGGCTCAGAAATATTCGACGTCTACAAGCAGCCTTTGCACGTGAGCAACTTTTATATAAGTTTCCATAGTACCATATAACTAATATGGTACTTAAACAATGATTATTTGTGATCTTTATCACAGATAATACATATTAATTTGAACATTATTTTGACAACCTTTTTCGAGATACAAATCAAACTTGCTGTACTGGTCGAGCAGCGGCTGGCAATTGTTTTACGAAAACTCATATCTGTCAAGTTTAGAGGACAAATAAATTACCATGTCAAAATCATTTTTGTCGAGGAATTTAACACAACTGATTTTCTATTCCGCAAAATGGCGACCAAAGAGGTAACTTAACAAAGGTTGGATTTAAATTTCGAACTGGCTTGCACATAGAAAGCTGTTGAGTAAAAAAATTTTAGTTGTTCAACTTCGCCATTGCTTTTATAGTACTACTTTTTTGTTTTATTATATTTTATGATATATTTCCGCCCATTGTTTGGGAAATGTACTATTCAAGCCTTGGCCGCAACTCGGCATTGATGCACTTACGTATGTGTATGCCTTGGTTTCCCCTCGACTCTTATTCACACGTTCGTTTGTCATCATGGCTCTCTTACCGGCCGCTGCAGTAATGTACTATTGTTAAAACTGCAAAGATTTGTCTTTTCTTAGTACTCGGATGACTGGATATGTAATTTACCAACAATTAATAGGATTGACATTTTTCAAACAGTTATATGATAACTTTATGTATCTTTATAAATAAGATGTCAACATACATACCTGGAGAAAGACCATAGTGAAATTTAGAATCATATCACATAAATAATTTTGTACTTGCAGGGCGACCACAATCACTTATTCGTTCGCCAAGGTACCGGTCTTCAGGGGCAGGCGGTGTTCCGGACGAAACTTTCATTCAGACCTCACTCAACCGACTCCTTCACTCACCGGAAGATGACGCTCTCGGCCGCGGATCGTTCGACCAAGACTTCCGCTATCAAGATTCTCTCGCAAGTCGGATCTGATCCTGACGCTGATAGAAAGTATCAGCTCAAGGTATATTAAAAATGAATGACATTTCTAACAAAATCAATAATTTTCATATTTTCCTAAAACGAAGCTCTTGTGACAAGTATATAGCTTCGTAAAAATCTCGAAAGCTCAAAAAGCTGAACACAGGAATCCTTGCATTTTTTAGTTTAAAATTAGTAGTAGTTTAGTATTAATCCGTTAACTACTGTAATTATTAATTGACGCGAATTGTATTATTTAGAAAGAAGAAATGGAGCTCCGCGCAGCCATGAGGTCGCGGGCATCCACTCGACCAAAAAGGCGATCTGGTGGAGGCGGCACCGCAGCTCGCGCCGCTCGTGATGACTCGGAGGACGAGGGCGGAGTCTCGCTCGCCGCTATCAAGAATAAATATAAGCAGGGCGCTAAAGGTTAGCGGAGCACACTTTATTAAATCTTAAACTAGACATTTATTAATAAGAGACCTTTCTTTTAAATAAATCACATTTAAACGCTTTAAAACGCGAAATACATTAACTTATTTACAACACTTCGTTCCTGCAATTATAGGAAACATGTGGCCGTAAATAAAATAAAATTAATGATTGTGATTAAGTTAACTCTTATACATTTCGCGTTTTAATCCGTTTAAATGTGTACTACTTACGTAAACTACAGACAATACTCGAGGCCTTACTCTGATGTCTAACAAAAAATACTAATTTCAATATGATTAATATTTAAATATTAATGCAAATATTTTTTTAGATTTGTTTTATAAGTAAATGTAGACTATCTTTGGAGGTAAAGGGAAATCAGATAGTTCATTGTACAATCACTTATTTGTTTGTAGATAGATCATGCTGAGTGTGATACGGGATTTTACTTTATATAGATTTAAAAACGTTTGGGTTTCGAACCCAAAATACGATCTTACTAACACTTTGTACTTATAACTGTGCAATCACGACATCTAGCGGACACTTATTGTATTATTTCGTTTGCAGCGCAAGCCTCAGCGATATATTCTTCAGAATCCGACGGATCGGACATGGAGACGCGAAGGGCTCGTCGTTTAGACAGGGCTAAGGCTCTGAAGGACTCTGATGACGAAGGCAGCGACGCAGACGCCACCACACAGAAGAGTCACAGCGCATCAAACTCTGGCAGTGGTAGCGAGTAAAGAAGGATTAAGTAGATTGCAGGAACTTTATGCAAGTGTTAGTCTTATTATGAATGGAAGGCAAAGCAAGGAAAGTATTACAGAGATGTAGTGACAAAATGGATAAGAACATTAAATTAATCGATTATAAATTGAAAAAAATATATGACACGGGCAGGATTTAAACCGGCATCCATAGTGTTCCCTGCTGTTGCTCTAACCGATTGAGCTACCGTGTCCTACACGTCATCGTTTAATTTTTTCGTCGATACAAGCACCTCTCGCGCAATGTAATTTCAACAGTAAAACTTGCGTAATAAGGTAAGATTTTAAAATGAATATAAAATGCCTTGTAAGTTTGAATTTTTTATTACTACTAAATTTTTCAATCCGTTCAGGCTACTGAAAAGCACCCGAAACGACGGGTCGTAGTTAAAAATAATTATCCAATGTTTCTCGTTTTAAACCGTTGTTTAATTTACCAATTATAAATCCTAAACTAGACTATACTTAAAACAAATGTTGACAAATGACATGTAATACTGAATAAAATTGAATGATTGTATAGTTTTTACTATAACAGGATTAGACCTTTATATTCGATGTTTCAATAAGTTTTTGTAAATATAAACAAGTAGTTTTTAATAAATAACTTGACTGAATCTTAATTATTTATTTTATCAGTTTTATATTTTCACTTCGGATTTTTTTTGGCTTGCCTTATCGCTTAGTTGTTGATGGAATGCATTTGGAAGGTTACCTTGGACAAAAAATATCTTCATATCTATTCTAGTATCTACTGTATGCATGGTAAGGAAATTGGCATGTCATATTATAACCAAATTCGACGACCCCTGCCAACATCTATTTGGCTGTATATATGGCCCAACACGGTGGTACCGGCCAACATTCTTTTGGCCGCATACAGGTCCTGAACCTAAGTTTGAGTCCAGCTGTGGGTAGTAAGCTGATGGTGGTTGCAATAGAAACCATGGAATGCTATAAAACTTTATCTCTTATTGTAACAAATGCTATTGCTTCATACACAATTTCGCCAACACCAATTATTTTCCACAAACCGCCGTCGGCCTTTGTCACGTTGGGAATTAAAAACCTGCAGGAGCCAAAGTTGAGATTGCTCCTGCTGTAAAACCTATCGAAGGTAGATCTTGGGGCAGTGATTTCACAGGTTTCAATTTTGGGAATGGTGTACTCGAACCCAATTTCTAAGTCTTCTCCAACAGATAAAAGTGGCCTCTTTGGTGCTGCTGGGATTCCTTCTAAAATATAATTAGAAATAAGACTCCTATAAACAAGCTGTTAATTGCAACAGTGCTTATAACAACGTTAATTAACGAAAAATTCGAATTTCAGCTAGGATGTTATTAAGTATTTTACGACAGAGAAAGGCAGAAGAAGTCCACATAACATCTGCGCAAGAGACGCTGTTAACCTATGTTGTGTTTGTTTGGACATTCAAAAATCCTTTGCTGAAAATTAAAACGCGATTACACTGTATGCCTTTTCCATCTTTAGTGATTTGAATTTCTATATTCCTGCAACCCATTTAATGTCCAGATTTTCCGGAAATAGTCTAAATTGCTTCAAAAAATTATGTGTATGTAAATAAAAATATCGATATTAAAACGAAGAATAACTTATGCAAATGGCAAAGCTTACCTATTATTTCTACAGTAATCACTTGAAACACTTCTACCCATTTCGCATCTCGTCGCTGGTAGTAAGCACTCAGCACCCAGTTCCCATGGTCATTCATCTCCAACGGACCGATCATGAAGTCGTTTCCCCCCATTTTTTCCTCATATTCCCGAAAAACATCGGTGGGAAAAAATTTGCTCCCTTCGTTCGGATTGAACACCCTGTACCTATTCACCGGCGATATTACCTTCAGGGATTTGAAGTATTTTATTTGTATGTCATAATAATCATCTGTTATGTTCTTGCAGTTGATACTTGATTCTAAGTTAAGTCGAGTAACTTGCCCATTTGGACGATTCAAATAATATTTAGTACTATTGTTTATAATTGGCGCCGAAATTATAATAATGTCATTTAAAGAGGAAGATATTAAAAACGGAGATAGCTCTATTTTGTCTTCACCTGAAAACAAAGGTCCCTTTTATACAGAAAATGTAAAGTTTTATCAGCCATTTTACAAGACCGGTTTTTGATTACTTCATTGCGTTTTTACTAAGCTGTATATCTGCTAGGGAATAATTAATCTTTATCTGAAGAACTTGTCTTTTTAAAATATAATGCCATTGCGTTTCAGCCCGTTAAAAATTGTTCTGTTAAACGTTACGATGTAAGTTACTCAGAAAGGCCACAGCATGATTGGCGTTACGTGAAAATAAAATTAGCATGAAATCGGCATCAACAAATTATAATTTAAGTTTAAAAAGGAAATATTTTAAGTGCCGAATATAGATGTATTATCGTTAAAAGTTAATAATTTAATTACGACTCAATCTGTTAATATAATACAAACGGATAAAATGCTTACATTACATATGACTCTGGTACTTTTATTTTACCATTTCGAGCTCTACTTAGTTCACAAACTATTCCTACTCAATGGTCCCTCAGCAACTTTAAATGCTAATAACGTATGTATAAAAATTAAAGAAAACCTACTTATAATTAAATTTGGATCGTCATTTTCGATGTTCACTGTGACACTTGCAACGAACACAATACTTGTAAATAAATATAAAACACGCGTGTTCATGTCTTACAGTTGACGCAAACTAAATTTTAAGGGAATATTTTTTCGATATCACAAATATTTGGATAAACGACTGTATGTAGATAAACTTTTACGATGTTTCATTTGCCAATCGAATTCAAAACCAGACAGAATCCATCTTAATTACTAATTATTGCTTTTACTTTTAGCCTGCCTTATTTTTTATTTTTGCCATCGATGATCGAGGTATGGTTGACAAAATAAAAATATGACGTCACAGTTGGCATTGATACCAAAACCTAGTAGTCGAGATAGTCCTGGCGATATTTGATAAAGGATCAAGTAAATCTAGCCAATTTATATATAGATTTTGCGTATTTTTTTCATCGCAGTTGTTAAAATAAGTAAAAAGTGAAATCTCATTTTTCCCTGTCACTGTGTCAATTATTTTCTTTGCAGGATTCCCCGGGATACGAACTGTGTTCCTAACCTTAACGTAATGCTAGACAAAGAGTCGTTGAACTTTAGAGGCGGTGTGCATAGTGACATTTAAACATATGCTGTGTATAACTATAATTATATATTTGGGCCACAGCTGAACAACTATTAATTAAAGAATCAAATAAACTTGACCAGGACCGTTTTGAGGAAGGCTTGAAATTTTCGACATGAATATTGACTGATTTCTTATCACCTTTGAGGTGTTCCGATATTGGGCGACAACAGATAGTACTATCATATCGGTCCACGTTTGGTTGTGGCATCGATATTTTTGTAAAGCTTAACCTTATTTAAAATTTAGTTCTAATACTTACCCTGCTGTTCATATTTTTTAAAATCTCGAATTAAATTGCAAATTCTTGTACACCTTATAATATAAAAAATTGTTTTTATTTGAAAACCTTAATATTTTTTTTGTATGTAATATAAATAAGTACCTATAATACATATAATTTAAAAGTATGAATTCAGAAATTATTTTCTTTGTTTAGATTTAACACAAAATATTACAAAACACTCCCGTTAATTTTTGCAACTTAATTATTCTTTATTGTTTTGTATTCATCGCATCGTATAATTTGAAGAACAATTATTACGAAAAAAAGACCAACATAATACTAGAAAACTATTCTTTATGCTAGCTATGGACAAAATGTAGGATCATTTATACAACAATTCTGTTTTTATTATAAAAGCTTGTGACGCTGTATTCAATTAATTCTAGTTTAGGCGGCGACCGCAGTTGCTTCAATCCATCTCGCGTACGAAGATACTTTAGTATTGATTCCAGGGTACTGAGGATCAGCGCAACCCTCGCTCCAGGAGAACACGCCGACCACAACATTGTTGTGGAGGAGAGGACTTCCGGTGTCGCCCTGTAGCATTAAGTCATTTAATAATGGAACGGAGCCGTTTTTAAAGTAAGTAACTTATTATTTAGTTATTTACCTTTAACACTTATGCAACATTAAGCTATATACAATACAGAAGTATTCAAGTTTTATGCATAATGAATACTGTTTATATTGTGAAAATATCTAGACTTAGGGTTAGATCCTAAATAAAAATATATATTTAAAGTAAAAAACTGAAAATATATTTTAATCGAAGACGAATTAAAGGACGTTCTGTATTAATATCTTTACTCCAAAATCTTCACTTTTAACTTACTTACCAACTTTTTTTGTATTTAGTAGTCTATTACACAATTATTTTTTTTACTTTTATTTAATTTAACTAAGTATTTAAAATTTCTCAAAATATAACAAAGCGTGGCTTAAACTACAATTATATTTTTTATATCGTCCTTCTAAGGGCCTTAGTAGACCTCTTGTCCATCGCTATATTTAGTAGCATACGGGAATCCATTTTTTAACTTATTCCAATTGTAGTTAATAGGAAATAACAAAATCTTACTTGACACTGCCCTCGTATGCCCACGCCAGCCCATCCAGCACACACCATATTGTCGGTCACCGCAAAATTAAGAGCGTTGTACCGATTGGCACAAGTCTCCTGCTCAATAACCCAAATGGTCGTGTTGCGCAGCTCTGCCGAGACGCTGCCAGTGGCCTGAAATTTAAGGGACAGTGGAGAAAGGGCTCAGCGACCCTTCCAATAATAGACACCCTCAAAGGGTTTCTATTCATGTCCAGTCATGTAAATACGTAAGTGCTCCTTAGTCCCACATCTGGACCAGGCCCAAACCATGTTGGCTGGTGGGATACACCAGACATGATATGATTTATTAACCCAAGAACCTCTTCCTCAAAGATACACCTTTTTTATCTTACTCGCAATAAGAATATTTAATGTCATAGTGAGAAATCCACATTTGTACATAATGTTGACAATGTATGTTTGGAAGCATTTGTGTGTTTTGTCTACCAAACTTGTAAAAGAGAGAGACTAGGAAAAAAATAGAATGGTTTAAGTTCTTACTCGTTCACGCGAACGGTATCAATTTCGTCGTTTCGATGCTCTGGCAGAACATACAGATATATGTATTTATAAAAGTAAAACCAAATAAAATGTACATACAGAAGTGGAACCCCATCCGATAGCTTGCAGCGCTGTTCCTCCTGGCAAAGAATAAGCTCCACCAGCCAAATAAGAAGCTTGTACAGTGTTCCCGTACGTAAAGTCGATCGTAGCTCGCAAAACAGCGACATCATTCACCCTCGTCGTTTGCAGGTAGCCAGGATGGGTTGTGATGCGTTTGATCATGTGGATCAAGCCAAGACGATTGGAAAATGTTGACCCGATTCTCGCCCGCCATGATACTGGCTCATCGGCGCTGAAATTTTCGTGTTATTTATTGTCATTTACAATAAAATTGAGTACGCTAACATAAAAACACGTTATCTCAAATATTGAAATAGCAGATCGTGGGCAACATTTTTAAGATACATCTAAAACATCGCGTTGATATTCGCATCGTAGTGTGTGACTATGGTGACACAAGGAATATTTCCAGTTTCCTTGTATCTAATAAGACTCATTAACGCGTCGTGGCTTCGCCCCACCGGGTCCAACATTTCTCCAATCAATTAAACTAACTTGTTGGACTTCGTCTGGAAATCTGGATATAAAATGGGTGGTAGAAATAGCGCAATTCCATCCATCACGAACCACCGTCCACAGACGAAAAAGGCGTGAAGGCAAAATAAATCGAGAGTGCACATTGTTGATGTGTTATAGGTATGTATGGAGATTTTAAGCTAAGAACTTACACAGTGCCCGTGATGAAGCAAGATGCAGCGGACAAAATAGCATTCCTACTGATTATGGTGCCTCCGCATTGGTGGCGATAGCTGTTGTCTTGCAAACGAAGCAGTGAAGTCGAAAAAGGATAATATGCTATGTCGGTGGTCGAACCCCCAGCTATTCTGCTGCTTGGGCTAGCTGTAAACAGTTATTAGTAAAGTCTATAAAGAATATTTATGAAATTAATAAAATAATCTGGTAACACTACCAGACCTGTGTTAACAGATTCTTTTACCAGATCTAGTTAGATACAAATTTGGTTTCCATATAATCTAAGAATTATTGGTGTTTGTTACCCCTAATGGTGTGTGTGTTAGTGTTGGATTTAAATATTATTTACACACTTTAATGACTTAAATAAATTAATTTATATATTATCCCCATGTGCAATGACGTGTAAAGAATATTTAAGTTTTCAAAATTGTTTGAATTCTACGTAAACGTGTATTTTATAGTGATTGGGGTCTCAGTAATATCATATTAATTGTATTTTTAATGGCCAAAAACGTCATCTATCGTATATCTATAAAAATAACAAACCACTTACCATAACTTCCAGCTAATATTACACTTAAAACTAACAACACCTTCATTTTCAACCAATAAATGGAATTAGTGCATATTTTACATGATTATCAACTTGTAAATAAATGATAATTAAAAGCATTTAATCTATATCTTATCTGTAGTCGATAAATAGTTACTATACTCAGTTTATAAATAGGTCTCGAATAAAAAAAATAATAAATAACATTCTGTACCTACTTAAAAAGATTTATACATATTTAAACAAAACACTTTTAATGGCTTAAAACGCGAAATATGATACTTAATTTATTTGACTTACTGTCTGTCGTTTAAGATGCTTTGCAGAAGCCGCGGGGGGGGGGGACTGAGGATGGAGGGAGTGCCTAATGTCAAAGTCAAATCTGTTACAGAAGCGCCACCTGTTTCGTCGTAGTTGGTATGTGGCGAAACTGGTTGGGCCCTTACGGACCAGAATGAGCAGTGCATTTTCGTTTACAGGAATGCTGTTTTTAAGCCAGTAGTTAAAATAGCCTAACGTGTTTCGCGTTTTATACCGTTAAGTGCTTTATTTAATACGTTAGTACATATAATAGTTATCAATGAAAATAAATCATATTACACAATATACATTATATTTATTGTAACGAATAATAACGAACAGTAAATAGTACTTGTTAGATGTATGAAATGTTACAAAGAAGCAATTTATTCACAATTAATAATTTTATTAAGTACGTCAATATAGCCACAGCCATTATATCTAAAGTAAGTACATTTATAATACATAGAAAGTCGACCGCTTTATTCTTATTTAATGACCACAGTATAATCTGTAAGAACAGAATTGTTATAAAATACAAATTGGGATTGATTTAAGCAGCCACAGCAGTATTAACAGTTGGCGGCGCTTTTCTGAAGCTGTTTCTAAAGCTTTGACGCACCACGCTGGCGCGAGATGCCACCCACTTGCGGTTCTTGTAAGGTCCAACCGCGACTCCAACCAGGATCAGGGATATGCCCACAACCATCACTACCACCCACATTGTGGGGAAACGGAAACCTGAAATGTTAATAATGTCTTATTTATATATTGTTTATTTGATTACGGGCTGCTATAGGAAAATATATTTTTTCTTCAGATTACTAAATCAATACAAGCTCATCATCAAGCACTAACCTGAACTGACATCTGCTCCCCTCGAAGCGATATCGGTGACTCCAGTGACCTCCTTATCCTGTCCACTAATCTTGGCAAGAACTGTCCAGGGTTGGAGGTCCAGTGTGGACGGATTAGTGATGCGAAGTTCACAATAACCGTTTGATGGGTAAACGAAGCAGTGGTAACCCCGTGGGGCATTGTCGATGGTGAAACCTGAAAATTGGAGATTAGATTACAAATAATACCCAGTACTTCATATTAAGTAATCAACCATAGAGGTCGTCAATAAGACTTTATCTCGGCTGTGGTAAGTCTCGGCTCAAGTAAGTAGTGTAGCATATAGTGAACTGCTACAAAAGTAATGAACTTACCAAGTCCATCAATTCTGACAAAGACACAGTAGTCAATTTTTCTTCGATTGTATACTTGCGCTTCGATTCTAATGTTGTGTCTCCTACCGCGCTGCCGTACTGTTAGCGGTTCTGGAACAAGGCAAATAAGACAATAAAATATATAATATATTTATAGCGTTCAGACGTTACAAGTCAGCAGCCACTTGAAAGTCAGTGTACCTTGAAACTTACTGAACCATCTCTTGCATCGCAATTCATGTAAAGTCAATTTTTTTCGGAAATTTTACGGCTATTTAAAAAAATACGATGGCAAATACATATTTCTTTCTTTCTTTTAAAAATATGTTTTTTTGTTCAGATCATCATAATAGTGTGACCATTTTCACTACACGTGTGTATAAAAAATTAATTGACTAGTTGATTACTATCTATTGTCTAAAAAAAGAACTCCTTGTTTATTCCGTCACATTAAAAAAATCTATATCTTCTAAAAAAAATTACCATCCTTGTTTTTGTACAGTTGCATGTTAGGATTTTATTAAAAGCAATATCGGTAATAATTTAGTAAAATAAATTGTATTATTTGTTATGCATTCTCTTGATATCAAAAAGTTTGTCTTACCTTCTACTTTAACTGTGATAGAGCGTCTTTGTTCCGGGGCTTTAACATCATTTAGTCCTACGTGGCAACTCCACGCACCGCTGTCAGTCGTCGCTAGTCCAGGGAATCGAATACCACACTCGCCAGCGTCAAACCCAGCGCCGACGTAGTTTGACTTATCTGAAGTGTTACAACATGTAAGTTATATTTATAGTTACGCGAGGAGAACACATTTAAATAAAAAGCTTTTTACGGTTTAAAACACGAAATGTATGTACTAAAATCTTATCTTAATCGATTTACAATAGGACGGCCTTAAGATACCAAACATCTGTGAAACCATAGTAAAAACAAGAGGTCCTGAAAACATGGTCTTAACTAGACAGTTTAATTGCGAGATAAAAAAAAGCGTGTTAAAGATATAAAATGAGCAGTTAGTCTCTTGTTAAAAAAAATATATTTAACGGTAGCTAAAGCATATTTTGTACTAAACAAAATGTATTACCAGGTGAAACGTGGAATATGGTGCCGTTTCTGACCCTGAAGTAGCAGTAGCGAATGGCAGCTTGTATTGAACAGGACAGCGTAACGCTTTCGTCGACTAAAGCGTGCACTGAACGAACAGCAGACAGAGTCGGCTCTGAAAGTTAATGTAAACAGTTAAATTCTGTATAATTCGCCTGGAAGGATTAAATTAAACGCCTTTATGTGCCTTATTTAATTTATGTACATACAGTTGCGTCTGTTGTATACATAACGGAAAAAATATATCATATCATATATATCATTCTCCAGGGTACAAACCTGAGACCTCTGGCTTAAAACAATGCTAAGAGATGCCATTGGAAACCCAAAAAATTAAGATATTTTAATAAATACATAGACGCAGAACCAACAACTTTCTTTCAAATTGATTACTATGTTTGAATACCTTTATTAGAACATTTAGACTTATTACCGGTTATAACGGTTGCTGCGACCTCAGGATCTGTCACAAGCCAAGGGCATCTAACAGACAAATGTCCATAAAGAACCTTGTCTTCAGTCTCAACCCCACATCTCCATAATCCGACGTCTGCGACTGTGGGTTCCGTGATAGTAATACCGCATGTATGATTTTGGGCGACTCCTTGGTAACTAGACATGTAAGAATAAGTACTTAACAATAAAAAAATATAAGTGGGAACTACTACAACTAATAAAGAGTTTGGCAAATAGATACAATCAGTTAAGCTTACTGTTTCGGCCATTAATGTAGGGCAATGTGGGTAGTTACGTTTAATTGTACAATCCAAGCCTACCCTACTTTATAAGTCACTTAACTCTTAAGCTTTTAATATGTGTGTGCTTTTGCCTTCTGCCTAATTACGCTGCGAGATTGCAAGTCCAGTGATCAACTTGTGTGAAGTCACCAGTTACGCAGGGTTACAACGCTTTAGAACATCGGGGTTCGGTGAGTCTTTTTACGTACTATCCTTAGACTTACTTTTAAACGATTGTTGTCCATATTGATTGGCTCAAACAAGGTAATTTATTTTAATAATCAATTAATCAGTAATCAAAAATACATTGTCAATAATCCTTAATGAAAACTCAAGCTAATATTTAGTCTAATTAAAAATTATATTTTATATTTATAACTGCAAAACAGAGTGCCAAGATGTCTTTAAAACCACAAGATATTGAACAGCAGCGAAATCATCTTTTTATTAGTTACACACTCAGAGACACCCTTGTCCATGAATTGGGATAAAGATGGATGTAAATTTACCTAGATGTAAATCCATGGTTATTGTATCTGGTCTGGCTAACTCCATCGTGAGCGAGGAGGATTTTGCCAGACGGATCTCGGAACTTGCAAGCTTTTATAAATAGGTCACTTTGCACAGAACAAGAAATCGCTACTGTTGGCCTATTCACTTGTACGCTTGTTGTTACCGTTGGTTTAGGGTCTGAAAGGAGAGTAATGTTTATAATTATTTTTAACTTTATAGATTTATAATTTATTACTTTAATGTGAACAGTTATTATATACATTTTTATGAAAGTGAAGATTAATTGAATAAGCATAGAAAATATTGTGCACACAAAAAAGGAAGTCGCTTAGCTGTATATCATATGCATACTAGATATGGCATATGCTATGCCATATCTTAGTATGTTGCCGACGAAACTTGCCGAAGCAGATTTTTTTATATTAAGCTAAACCTTACTAACTTGGGTATATACTATTTAATATATTTACACATTTTAGAAGTTCAAAAAATCATACCAGCCTCAATAACATTCACGTTGAGCAAAATGACTTGAGGTACAACACTGCCGTGAATGCCAACATACAGTTCCCAGACGCCAGCATGATCTGATGTAACCTTTTCTATGCTGATGTTGCATCTTCCAAAACCCTCATTAAAAGCTCTTCCATATGGTTCAAAAACTTTACAGTAAATAGCGTTTTCGGGGCCGATTGTTAATTGAAGTGGACGGTCCAGAGTCCACACTGACTGCTCCACTGTGGCTGTTCCGGGTGTACCTGAAAGTATTTAAATAATGTGAAAAAAATACTAATAATGAAAAAAGCTAAAAATATCCGAATCCCAAAAATATTAATGTAAACACATGACCATAAACTTGTACAAGCAATAAATATTAAGATGAAGAATGTGCAAGTGTCTCGACATTCGGTGTCTATCATTCTGATCTTATCTGAGACTATTATTATCGGAAATAATTCACTTTTGAAATGAGTTTTATAAGATTTGTCCAGGTCAGATCAAATAGCTAAAGCTATAATCTCCTATAAGGGACACGTTACGCCGCGTTATTTTTTTTAAAATAACATGTAAGCAGAACTTTCAGTCGATGGTAGTTGCCCCCAGGCCCAAAACTAACAAGATGCACTGTTCATTATTCACGGCTTTTTCCTCCGAGGTCAGTGGTTGGAAACCCAGACGGATTTTCAGTATACCTATATTATAAGGTTATATATAAGGAATCCTTATAATATTATTCTTGCAATTAGATTGAGAACCAATCTGTCAGTGGTCAGATTTAGTTAACAAACAATGCTCTCGTCAAAACCAACATTAACTGCAATAGCGTCACATACGGTTTTCATAACGCTAATGTCAGAACGAGTGTGCGAAGGAGACAACAGTACATCTATTATATATAACACTGACGTATAGTCTGATGCTGTACGATTTTCAAGAATACCTGCTCCGTATATGTATGACATTACCCGTTTTAAATTCTCATATAAGTAAATTTACCTACAACAACCACTTGAACCGGCGCTCTGTAAGTGATTCTGCTTCCATAAACAATCGTCCAGGTTCCATTGTCCTTAGATGTTACGTTGAACACATTAAAAGGGCAGGTGTTGGACATCGTTTCGTTCACATCAGCTCGGTACTCTTCACCGTCTGGCTTGATCAATTTACAGGTATCTGGCTCAGATGTAGCATTTGTCAGACTGATGTGGAAATTGTTCCCTTCAGCGACTGTCACGAGGCTAGGCGAAGCTTCTGCTGTACCTGAAAAGAGATAGAAAAATCTGTAGGTATTCCAAGATGGCTGAAAAGGGCCTTACTAGAGAAACTCTTGACCTCTTTTTCATCCAACTAATTGATAGTACAACAATTATTTATTACAATGACTAATCAATTCAAATGCTTTATCACAGTAAAAATCGACGTCAGGTTAAATTTAGATTATGATAAGTATATGAAATACCATTATTAAATATAAGTTGAATCTTAGACAAAAATACTTAAATATGTAACATTAAAGATTCAAAATTTAAAATTAATTTTACTTAAATAAAACTTATATATTAAATAATAATCAATTATAAATAAGCAATAAACTGTAAAAGATTCGATTATTATCATTGGGATGTAATTAAAGATTATCGTATTATCGGTATATTTAGATTTTATCTGTAGACGTGACTGGTTGCGCGTACGTCGTTAAAGATAGGGGGTTGAAAAGATTAATGAAGTGGATTTGTCTTTCGAATAGATCCTATTAGGATGCCCCGCGGATAACATAATTGGAAAGAACGACTACCTCGAATTAGCACACATAATCCTTATAACATAACGAAATATTACCTTCCATATAGATTATTATCGGCAATCTCCGTTCGATGGGTGTGCTGTATCTATAGCCTTTTTCAATTAATGTCCAGTTCCCAGCGAAATCTTCGGAGACAACATCGATCCTGACACCGCACATTCTATCTGCGCTTGATTGCAAATAAATGCCAGGAATCAGGGCCGTTTCATTCTTCAAGTCGTATTTGTCTCCATTAGGTGTTATGATGTCACATGATTCTGAGGTTATGGCCGCGAAAGTTTCGATGGCGAAAGACTTAGAACCGCCGAGATAAGTCGTAAAAGTCTGTTGTTCTAGGTACTCTGGTTCTACTTCGAAAGGCTCTGAAATTGATTAGGTATTATTAAACATTGATTTTAAATTGAAGACACGGGCAGAACTGGAACCGGCATCCAACGAGTGTCGTGCTGTGCTCTAACCAATCAACTAGTTACCCAATTGGGTAGGGCAATTGTTATCATGTGCAATAACATGTGAAAATTTTTGAAGTTACATTAAGAAGAAGACAATGCGATATACTACAATCTAGATCTGTTTTTATAAATAATATCTATTTATAAGATAACCTTTTTTTTCTACAGAAATAGCTCGTTGGTACATAATAATATATTAGTATTGTGGTCTATACAAACTTCAATAAGAACGTTTTATTTAAAACAAAATAATAGTTTATACTTTTTCAGACAAAAACATTGTATGTTCTTTTACATTTAACGTCTTTGGACAAATGCAAGCTAGCAACATAATAGTACAATTAATCGTAATCGCTTGTTTATTATTTTTATAGCTCATAACACATAGTAATAGGATACTCTTATCGTTCTATATGAATTCTAATCATTAATCGTTAAAAATATCTAAAGCTTTCGACATATCTACGACAATTATTATAGTCCTAAATTACCGCCTGTGATAATACATTTTCTCATGCGTCAGTTCAAGGTCTAGTCAAGTGCATATATAGTCAGTGAGCAAAAGGGAAAAAATTACAAAGTTTCGGTCGTCCGGGCACAGAAGTTATTCATTCTGCCTTTGATTAAAATCTTTAGTCTTAGTAACACAGGACGTGCTTGTCCCAGTTCTTTACGGGCTTGAATAAAACACTTTTAATTTTGTGTTCGACTCATTATTCTAAGGCGAAACAGGATTTTTCTTTAATTTTTGCTGTTTTGAAAATGCAGACGTAAGTCTAGAAACTCTCCATTGGTGGATGTTTGTAAAAACATTTGTGTATAATCAAAACATGATCTTTTAAATACAATACACGCTCTTGCCATAGTTAAGTGTAGCAGTTTAAGTTAAAATTGATTTCAAAAAAACATAGACAAATCAACAAGACATGATCTCTTTCAGAGCAATGTCCCATGTTCATTGACTATATCAAGAATGTCTTTTTGGTCTAGTCAATGTTAATATCCTTTCTCTCTCCATCACATGACAAAAAAAAACATTTAGAATTTAAAGAGCGGTAAGAGACTGCTTTTTTTTCTTTACCTCTTGTAGTGACATCTATGATAGAAATAAATTTTAATCAAACTTACTTCTTACACTGACGTCGTATTCCTGTGAATCATTTGAATTCTGTCCATAAAGGGCATACAGCTTCCACAAGCCAGTATCATCTGAGTCCAAGTTATTTATGGTCACCTGGCATTGGGAGAAATTTTCTGTGTCCTCCAAGAGTGTATACTTTTCGTTGGATCCATTATTGGGCTTAAATTCTACTGTCTCTCGCTTCGGTGTAACTAAATAACATTCTCTTACTTGATTCGTGAATGTTAAGACAATTGCTTTGAAACTTTCCCCTTCTTCACGGTTTAGTATGGTTGCTTGCGAGTATGCGAAATCTGTAATCATTAAATAATGTTTTTTCAGCACAAAAGACTTTGTTTGTTATCATAATAAATCATGGTTATATTTGCAATATTCTGTTGAAATAAACTGGTGAGTAAATTTGAAGGTCCCATTTCATTAATAATCAATCTGATAAGAAAACTGAAAATCATGATAACTGTACGTTTACACAATTCCATGTAGCACTAGATAAATACAATCAATTGAGTCGGCATAAATTAGATGTCCTTTTTGAATAAAAGTTGTAATGGTTTAAAATGCCAATAATATTATTAAACTTATATGCTATGATGCTGTGCAGCAACAGTGGTTAAGGGGGGGACTTTAGATGGAGGATATAGATAATATGACGCTTTGTAAATCGTTAAAATTGGTTTACTTAATAAACTCCCGTAATAATACTACTACATACAATAGTTATGGCTACTAATGCTTTACAGCAGCCGTGGTCACGGGTGCTGCAAAACATCCGAAACGTCCGGCCGAAGTTAAAAAGAATTTTCTAATAAATTTAACTAATATATCGCGTTTTAAATCGTTAAAGTGTTTTATTTAAATGTGTACTACTCGCGTAAACTATAGACAGTGTTACTAAAGATATGACATATAGGTAATGATTTCGATATTTTTACAGACATATTTGTTGTTTGTTAATTGAGAGAATCTGAAGCATGTTGCAACGTAATTGTTAACAGTTTTTATAGACAAATATTTGTAGATAAATATTTGTACTCAAGCAATGTGTACAAATTACCCATTGACATTATAAACTTGAAATAACCGTTTCAATTTAGTATATAGATCAGCATATCATTGTCTTTCGGGCTGTGCGGCCGATGTGAGCGAGAAGAGGCTCTCGACGTTTCGCCATCACGTGCGGACGGCATCATCAGGAGATGTTAACTCCTTGATTCAATCGCGAAAGACAATGATATGCTGAACCATGGCCGTGAAAGCCTTACATAATATATAGATCTACGCAGCTATAAATGATCACGGTATTCTGATAAGACTTTACAGTAATATAACTTATCAATCCAACAATCTATAACTTACAATTTGCAATAATAGTTTTTAACTTAGTGAGAATTAGTTTAAAATTCCACATTTCACACATTATTTTTCTCACGACTAGTTTTTTCTTCGTTCAATGAATTTTTAATAGAATATTTAATAGCCAACATAATTGTATAAAGCAAGGTTGTATTAGCTATTATATTTTATAATGACTGAAGAACTATTTGAAAACCTCGCGGGCTAATGTCAGATGTCGCCACTTAATTGTTATGGAAGAATTATGAGTTACAAATGGTTACAACGTAATAAGTGATATTTACTGAAAGCTAAAAGTTTTTAAGCACTTAAATACCAACATGATTAAGGATATAAAGAATTTTCTAGAAGTTTGCTACAAATTTCTTATTAAAAAAAAGATTTATTCCTGTCATTTTGACCGATAACATTTGATAGTGCGTTTAATTCTTTCGTGTTTCCTCCTAGTCCTAAATATTAATTTTTCCTTGTTAACCGGCCGGCTTTAAGAGATCGGGTTATTCCATGTTATTTTATACCTAAATGCATCGTATTTTACAATAATATACTTGAAATTTTCCAGTACACTATAACTAAGACAAAAACATGCGCGAAGAAAACACAGGTTTCGAAAATCCAGTTACACTGTCAACGTCGAAGGACACATCACTTGTTAGCACTTAAGCCACTAATCACCTTTTTTACAGCAATAAACCCAATAGTAAATTCTGTGACGTCACCTGAATTATAAACATAATCTAAAACAAAATATTACCTGCGAAAACGACAACGCAGGTAAGTATGATATACGTCCGCATGTTGTCAGAACGCGGTAAGCACTGCGCGAGCGCAGCCACGGAGCCTCGTGGGTTCGTCACGATCCTTACGTCCTTATTGGTTATCAGATAATCTGGACCAAGTGATACGACGGCTTAAGAACTCAAAATATACATGACTGATAAGGTTTAGAAGACTCGTCACTGATCTATTTAGTTTTATTTTTTTATACTATGTTTTTGTTAATTGTTTTAATGTACATACTTTTTTGTAATGTGTCGGCGTTGTACCTACTTTCAGGAACAAAAAAAACTGAGTGGTGACACTCCACATAAATGTAATTTATTATTTATTTTATTGCATTTTTGTGTAATTCTTTGTGTGTGAAATGAAGGATTTTGTTTGAATAAGCATTATTAGTTGAAATGAAGCAAACTGAACATTAAAATTGTTACATAGAAACGGGCTACATTGTCGTTAGGATAAATAGATAAGAAAATTCGTACGTGTTATTTCGAGTTTAAAAATGTTTTACATCTTACAAGGTTTAATTTCTTTAGTCAGATCTCTTTTTCTTGAACATAATACAACAGGTTACATTAGTGAATCCTTCTAACTTGGCATATGAGTTTACAGTAACCCTATAACACATACAATTCATGGACAATATGTTTTCTATCTCATTAATATTCACTCGTATCTCACTGTACGGATTTATCTATATGATATGTATGATAAAATTTTATCTAGCCTGTCTGGGAGGAGCAGTTAAAATATGCCCAGCATTCGAATCCAAGACATTTGCTCCCAACAAATGCAACGCGACGCGCTTTACAACTGAGTTACAGAAGCAGTTTTTCATACTGAGTGAGGTTAGATTATGGTTTAACAACTTAAAGTCTAGAAGCAAACTTGGATAGAAGACAAATTGGTATTTTTTATTGTATTAACATTTTCTGTAATTTTGTTGTGTTTAGTAAACTTTTGTTGTTTAAAAAACGTCATCAAAGGTTGGTTAACTGTTAGAAATATGGGGACTTAAGCTGTTTGTCTGTTTCCAAATAAATAAGACTCGGTAGCACAATGAACGGCTGATGATATTGTCAAACAATACATTCTTATCCTTATCGCAACTTCTGATAATCTGATAGCACTGGGGAAAGATTATTCTATCGTAGTTATTGTGTATATGTGGTAGTAGTTATATTTCCTTTATCAAATAAACTAATGCGCATAAATTAAGCTACCAACATTTTTGGATTTAACGTGTTTTATATAATAGAACGACGCGTAGGGAAAAGGACGATGATAACCGGAACATTTTCTTTAAGTCAGCAGTCTTCCTTGCTTCATTGCATTCCTTTAATTATGGTATTGGGTACTTTGAACGTGGACCCTTATTGAATATTAGTTTTGTTCAGCGCCTTATAATATAAAATAGCAATAACAAAGGTTTTCATAATTGCTAAATAAAAGTTTAAGATTTTATAGTGCTCGTTCAATTTACTTCTTTATGTTCATTTTATTCTACCCTCGTTATTATTTGAAATTAGCAACTCTGTTTGGTCGATGGCCGTATTTGTTTTTCTTGAACATATTGCTTAGACCTTATCCTTATAAGATTCGTATTGTCAGGTAACTGAGGTAATTGGTGTCAAAACATATATTTGTGCTATGCGACTTTCATATACAAAAAGGAGTAATGTAAAAAAAATGTATAACCCGAATCCTTGTCTTAAAGTACATATCAGTTTGAGGACCTACCAGGTCCAGTATGTAGGGTGACAATATTTTTCTGAAATCCAATATAAAAAAAAGCCCCTTTGCATTTAATTTTTTTTTAAGTTTAGCAACTTAAGAAAATTTTCTGTTAGGCCATTTTAAGCCTTTGACTTTCTAAACCAAATTAAAAATGGAAACAAAAAGTGTGATGAATCACGTAATCTTTAAATTAAAATATAAAGATATTTTCAATAATTATTTACATATTTTGTGCATATTAATCATCTCATCTTTCAAATGAACAGTTGAGTGGTTTTGTCTGCGTCATGCCGCATGCGCATTGTGCGATCATGTAAAAACGACTTGAAATTATAATACGAGCCGCTTGCCAATTATTAAAAGAAAAACTAAAATCTTTCAAAAAAATAAAACATTTTCAAGTGTTGACAACGTAATCGTGAAATAACCCGACATTTCAGATGCTTTGCAGCAGCCGTGGGGAATGGGCATCTAGTTCTAAAGGTGAACAAATATCATATCTAGGTTACACTGAAAATGTTTAGGAAATGAAAACGGGAGAAAGTCACCAATACTTTTATTGTCTTTTGCGTTTTAATGTCGTGATATAGGAGGATCTTGCTTTGAAGGTTCTGCTGGTGATTTTATCTAAAACAACAAACAACAATTGTCATTCCATTCTCCAGTAACTGTTCTACCATATTCTAGCACAACTGTCGCGAAATGACCTTTTCGACCAAAGATTGAGTCAATCGTCTTTTTTTCTTCTTTAGTTTACTTCGCCGAACCTCGAAACGATCACTCATTGAGCTGATTGTCTTCTGATTGCAATGCAATATACAGTACCAATATGGTACCAAAGAGTTCTTAAATGGAAATTCAAAAAAGTTTTTATTACTAATGTCTATAACTGGCCAGTTCGTATTATTTCGTTGGTATTTTCGCGACACGATATTAAAAGTGTATTGTTCGTGTAAAATAGATTATATTTAACTGAGTTCCTATTAATATCTATTATTAGGTACTTTCGTAGATTTTTATTTCTTTCGGGGATTTATTTTTCAATTAAACAATCGTATACTTTTATTAATTAATATTAAGGATCTTTAAAGTTTAGAACCAAGATGTCCTCCACCAGTTTTAATTACGTAACCCATTAGAATAATTGTACAAACGCCGAAGTAATCTCGAACCGCCATTAAGCCGATATCCTTTGCCTTTTCTCCACTCAAAAGAAATGTGTAAACGGCCATGGCGTACACAATGCGTATGTAGAGCGAAGCTAATGTCACACAAATTGAAATATAGTCATACAAAACTGTACTTTATTCGTTGTTAATATGAGTTGTAATAGAATAACAGGATGTAAAGTTAGTACGTTCCACTTACTCGCCGTCAGTCCCCGCAGTCGAGTTCGCCTGCCATTCGGAGTGAACGTCACTAGTGGGTAAAAACTCCTCACGGACAACGTGTTTTATTGTGGAAAAACGTGCAGTGTTTGTGTGGAATAACTAAATAAATAAAACAGTAAGTACTTTTAATTGATTATTATTTAAGTACAAATTAGAAAGTTGAATAATTATTTTGAAGACGAAAGCATGGCGATGCCGTTATTTGTGTCTTCTTTTGAACTTGACTAACGAGTATTAATCCATTTCCTTAGGCAAACGGATGTAACAGAAGTGAAGACTAAATCTTTAAAACATTATACTTCCCTTTTACAAAGGTGCCCATGGGTTGAACCTCCTTAGAACTTTATTATATTGCATTGAAATACATGAAAAATAAATAATACACACAAATAATTTACTGCGTTCAAAGGACAGTTGTTACAATGTCCTGGTCAAATTTTAAGGTTAGATCCCCTAGTAATAATTATAACATAGATGCAGGAATAGATATCTAACCATAAAAGAAAAATTATTTCGTAAAAATAGTAAATAAAATACCAAAATGCATTTGGCTCAAGCATTCATGTTGGGAAATATCTAGGTTCTAAATCATTAATTAGACAATATTTCGTCCTCCATAACATTGAGTTTAAAGGTTTTGTTATATTTTGAAAGTAAATAAATATCATTGATGGTATGGAAATTGTTATTAATTTGTGGCTGCTATAAATACACTGGTCTGTTTGTTTGCTTATCAGCGGTTTGGAATTCACAACAAAAACGATTTCTGTTAGAGCTGTCACTATTGCTGCTTATAAAATATACTAATGATTCACTATTAAAATCATTGTTTTAGAGTTAGTTATCTACTATTACCATACTAACATGACAGATTTCAGAATACTAGTTAGGTACATTATTTAAGTTAGGACTACATGCCTTTTTTGTAATACTTAGCCTAAATTGCTGAATTTAGGAGCCATTATTAAGTGTTGTATGTTGTTCGCTCGTGTTAATTACGAATTAAGGAAAATAGTTGCAAGATTAATAGTTGACTTCTCTTTATTGTCCTGCAATAACTGTTACCCATAATGGAGCAGTTATTTGCGTGTTATATTCACATACAACTAAAATTCACTTAGGCACGACCATTTTTTTGCAAGTTCGTCGACCTATGTTTTCTTACATTACTACGAGTAGCATCTATTTTGAACGGCTGACTCACATGCAGACAAAGGGAAAGCAAGTCGCGAAATTTGGTTACCAAACTCAAATTTTCTTGCTAAGCCCAAGACATATGTGCAAAACAAATTATTGCTAATTATTCCCTTATTTTGCGACTAAAGCAACAATCTATCAAAGTAAAATAAAAATGTCTGCTTCATAAGCTCCTTTGGGTATGATTTACTGGTCAACCCATGAGTTCGTGCTTCGTGGTTGGCGGAATATATAAATGATTAAAGCATCTGTGGCCTTAGAAGTAGCCCAAGGGTACATCTGGATAAGCGCAAAAACACATCCACATATTTTGAGATATCTTTTATAATATTACCTTTTGTTATAACAACTGCAACGGATAACAATGGGAAAGAAATTCCACCACACTTCGCATTGTTCCGAACTAAGTGCTACAATTGCGGTGATGGAGGAATTTAATCCTTATGTAAGCAGAAATAAAATACTAATTATGCATTGCTTTATGTTGCTAGAAAACCCCCCCAGAAAATAAGTGAATATTAATGGAAATGATTTACTCGTATTTATTTTGACACGATTTAGAGGCGTGAAGATAGTTTTACTATGTAATACATTGTCACACTACGAATATAATCCTAACAAACAATTCATAGAAATGATTTCTGCGTCTATGTATCCCTTCTGTCGGACTCTTTGAACGATATGTGACTAAA